TAAAGCTCCATCTTGATCTTTAAAGCATCATGACAAAATGGGACTCATTTGAATTCAATGTCTTGGCCGAATGGGGGTCTTAGGATTGCATCTTGGCCCTTGAACTTGCTTAAGTCTTGAAGTTTATCTTAATCACATCTTTATCCTTATGCTCAGCTAAGGTGGGATTCAAGATCATGTATTCAAATTCAATCTAACTTCCTTCAATTCAAATGGTAAGAATCCTCCTTTTATCATGATTCTTTAAAGAGTAAGCAAAAGAATCATTGTTCATCACAAACATCCTTAGTCGAATGCATCTAGTCTCCTTATTGGATTGAAGTTGTATGAAATCCTCTTAGATTATATCTTAGCCAAATTAGAGATAAAAGATAGGAGTCCTTGTTCATTTAAATTCTTAATGGCTAAGCAAAAGTCATTCTTGGATAAAGCCTTCTTTGGCTGAATAGATAGAGTCCATGTGAGCTTGAAAATGCTTAGAACATTTTTGAAACATGGCCAAATGGTGTAAAAGTCCTCATGTAAGCAAAACACTTCAAATGTACAAGCAATCTCCTTGCATTTTTGCTTTGGTTGAATACCATGAGGGAATGGAGGTGTTTTTATGCATGTAAAACTCTTTTTTGACCGCATGGATGAATGGAATTAGGCCAATAGGGGTTCAACTATAAGTTTCCAAGATAGGATCGAATGTGCTCCTTGCATGCATACATGCATGGTTTGCATGAAAATCAAGTCCACAAGCTTGTAACCCTAAAATCATAAAATAATATAAAACGTACCAAAAATCAACCAAATTTTAAAATTTAGCACCAATTTTAGCATGTAAAAATACTATATTTTTAGGTACTATCATGGATCAAGATGAAAACATCTTAAGTATCTATATATTTTTTCCAACCTCTTATATTTAGGAAGAGCTTTAACAACATCTCTAACTTAAGGGCTTTCAAATTGGCCTACAAAAACAAGATGATACCTTGCATAAATGATAACCTTTAAGAGTCTCTCTATATTTAGGTCAAATCTCAAATGTTATCTTTACTTAAGATATTATCCTATTTAAAACATTTTTCTTGAAAAACATTATTTACAAAACCTATGAATGGTATGCATGAACATAATAATATGTAATGTATGCATGATAATGGAAAATGAATGATGAAATGTAAATGCATGATAATTTAAGAATGCATGTAATAATGAAGTAAAATAACATGCAAATGCATGAAAAGAATTAAGTATTCATTTTGGGATTTGGGCTTGGCTTAGGATTTAAGGTTATTGTTAGGGGTTAAGATTTAGGTTTAAGGTTTAAGGTTTAGGTTCTAGGGTTTAGGGTTAGTATTCATTTTGGGATTTGGGCTTGGCTTAGGGTTTAGGGTTGTTGTTAGGGGTTAAGATTTAGGTTTAAGGTTTAAGGTTTAGGTTCTAGGGTTTAGGGTTAAGGTTTAGGTTTTTGATTTAGTATTAGGGTTAGGGTTTTAAGTTAGGTTTAGGTTTTGGGTTTAGGGTTTGGGTTAAGGTTAGGGTTTAGGGTTTAGATTTAAGGTTTAGGGTTTGGAGTTTAGGTTTAAGTTCTAGGGCTTAGAGTTAGCATTTACATGGGAAATGCATGTAACAAAATTACCAAAATGCTATTGATAAAAATGCAAACTTTAAGCCATGGTAAATGAATGAATATGGAAATAAACATATTACAAATTTAGGCATATTTACCAATATATTACAAACCAAACATGCATGCAATAAATATTGTAAAATGGATCAAACACCATGGGTTCAATAAACAAAATAAGGTTCGGCCAAGCCATTTAATTGGAAAAATTGTTGGCCAATAATTTAAAACATGTCTCCACCATTTTTTGTTTTGAATTAAAACACATGCAAACAACAGTCAATCACCAAAAAATTTATTCAACACTTTTATTCATTAAGGATTTCATCAATCACATGGGAAGCTTAAAGAACAAACCAAAAGCACAAGTAAACACACATGATATGAACAACTTTTAGCCAACAAATATAAAATGGAGGTTTGGCCATGCATAAGGAAAGTTTGGCCGAACACACTTAATGGCCAATCCTAAACATTTATTCAATCTTTTAGCTAAAACATGCATCAAACACTTATAAAGCTATCATATGAAGGTATTTTTATCATAAAAGGAATTTCATCAAAAATGTAATAAACTACTTAAAAAGGAAACCATAAAAGCATGCATGCTAGCCAAACACATTATTCAAAGGAAGAAAATATTAAAACAAACATGCAAATAACAAGTAATATAACATTTAAAACTAAAAAACAACCAAATGAGGTTCTACCATGGAGGGTGGGAGCCTGGTTGAACCTTCCTTAAGCATTTTAATGCTGGATTTTTACTATTACTTGATCTCTCTTGCTTCAAATCACAACTATTGATTAGCTAATTGAAATTTTAGATCAAGCTTGGAGTTATTGAGGCAAACAACTATGAATAAAGTTGTTTTCTCATAAAAAATAAAAAAAATTAAAAGATAAACAAATATGGAAACTATGGAAAATGATATGAAATTGTATGAAATGCAATAAAGAATAATAAAAATTATACCTCTATAAAGCTTCCAAAATTTTTCCTATTTTTTCTCCTTTTTTCCTCCTTTCCCACTTCACTTTCAAGGCTATTATTCTTCCCTTTGTTTATTTTCCAAGCAATTCAATGGTTCAAGATGAATCCAACATAAAATGAGTCCTTTGGTGTAGTTGGAATATAAAAAGATCATTTTGCCCTTTTTTTCAAGTTTTTGCCTTTTATGCAATTTTCTTGGAAAATCATGATCTCTCATTCATTTTTGTGATTTTAAAGCATAAAAAATCTTTAAATAATAGAAAATTATTATCTGAATGTTTTTGTTAAAAATCAACTTCGAAAAAGTCAAATTACAAAAATACTCCTAAAAGATATTTTAGAAATTTCTCACCTTTCGAGGGATGATCAAAATTTTTAATGCTTCAAAAATCATGAAATAATTTCAAAACATGATTTAGAGTGTTTTGCAAAAAACTGACTTAAAAAAATGTCAAATTACAAAAATACTTCTAAAAGGTATTTTAGTAATTTCACACATCCTGGGTTTCAATCAGGGTTTTCAATGCATCAAAAATCATAAAATAATATTTAATCATGATCTAAATATTTTCACAAAAATCTAATTTTGAAAAGATCAAATTACAAAAATACCCTTAAAGGGCATTTTGGTTGTTTTACACTTCCTGAAGTGTAATCAAGGTTCTTAGTATTATTAATCATTTTTTATTGTGAATTTCCAGGAATTGCCTAAATTCAACCAAGTATGATTGATTTTGAACAAATTTTATTTTATTTGATCGGAGTTTAACCATAGGACATTTGAGTAAAATTGGTTTTAAATTCAATTTTAAGAAACTTTCAAAATCAAAGAAATGTTGGAATCGAACTAGGTTAGATTTTAAAAACTTTATAGTCGGTTAAAACTTATCCAAATAAAATTAAGTATTTACAATAATAAAATCTTTTTTTGTTCTTCCATTTTTTTTTCAAACTTGTTAAAATTTCCCTCTATCTAAAAAGAGTTTTTGTCTTTTATTGTGATTATTGTTCTCACCTTTAAAAAAATATGAAAAATTAGCTCTATTTTCTCTCGCCGATTCTATTTTTATTTTCTTTTATTGTTGCCTTTTATTTCAAAAATAAAAAAAAATCAAAAAAGTTTTATATTTTTGTTTTTATATTTTAAATTTAAAAAGTACCAAATTTCAAAAATAAAATTGATATAGATTTTTTTTGTTGGGTGTTTTTATCACGTGAGTTAATTGACTAACAATATTAGTAAAAAAAAATTATTAATGAAAGTTTGTCTCTAATTATAAATTTTTATTAGTTAAATGCCAATATGATAAGGGTGATATAGTTCTAAAAGTACTTAATCCATTGAAAGAGAGTACATTAAAAAATATCAATAAGATATTTTGAATATTTAATATTGGAATATTAACATGGATAAGCTACATTTTTAATAGATCAACATACATGTCGTAAATATTAAGATTAACAGGGTCAACCTTTTTCCTTTTCTTAACCAAAGATTAAGCAAAGAAAATATGGAACATTATGCAACGCCCATATCATTTTAAATTTAGAATAACAAAATACTGTTTTCTAATTCAAGTTTCCTTATCGTTAGTGTTTTTTTTTTATTAAATTAAATTTTGAGTTTGGATTTTTTTTATTTTTTATTTATTTTTTCACCTCTTATTTTTTATATTTATTAAAATATTTGAAATTTTCTTGTATTTTTGTTTTAATTTCTCACATAAACTACTACCCAATCTATTGTATGTAATTTAACCTTTATAATATAACTTTTGTTTAGTTAAAATCTAGTAGATTCCTTTTTATCACGTTAGTGGATATTTGACTCAACTCGTGAAAAAATTCTATTGTAAAAGCAGAAACGTCTTCGGTGTTCAAAATTTTAAAATTTTTAGCTCGTATGAAAAACTTATTTGAGCTTTTAGACAAAATCACAAAACAAAATTTCTTCAAAAACTATTAATATCTAGTAACAGATATTTAAAAATAATTTCTTATGTTCTCACCTTATCCTTAAATGATTCATAAAATTATAAAGAACTCTATTATTTCATATTCTTCTTTTTTATTTCAATTTTTTTGTTTTTATTTGTTGCTATTTTTAATTAATGAAAATCTCTTTATTTTGTTAATTTATTTCACTTAAAAAGTTTAGGATTTAATTTAATATCTTTGGCCAAGAGTTTAATAAAAGCTAATATTTTAATTTTCATGTTCAAAAAACATACAAAATATTATGAAATAGTTTTCAATATTCTACAATAGTTTCGCACTAATTTTCAATATTCTACAGTAGTTATTCACTAAGTTTGTCTAATGCTATGTTAACTTTTTCAGCTCAACTTGAACAATACTTTTTACAATAATTTGATCCTTACATTTTCTTATCTATGTTGCGTCAACATCTACATGAAACATACTTGGCAAAATAAAAGTTGGGAAAAAATTAATGTGGTACGTGCCATAAAAGCTGGCATTACATGCCATATCACATAAACACTCGTATGACAAAAATAACAGATTCTAATGATTTTCATCCAGACTAAAAGCCCTTTTTTTTAATGTGTTGTAAGCTGATAAGAGGCGAAGGATATAAATATGAGACTACATATTTGGGTGAAAAAACAGTTGACAGCCAACTAGGCTATATGCCTCTACCGCACTACCTCAGCAACATAAAGTTACTTGCTTCTTTATATAATAGGGGGGGAAAAAAAAGGAATAACTCATTCCATATAATACGAGTAAAAACATCCTCACAAATCTTTCAAAATGACAAAAAAAAAAAGCGCAGTATTGGAAATTTGCTTTCTAAAGAATTTTCCAACCAACTCTTATAACACCCTAAACTGGTGGCTCTTCAAGAAGGATGGCATTCCAAGTTGGACCTAGACATATCCTGGGACAGCAGATGGCATCCCAATGTTTAGCGACGTTGCTTAAAGCACAGGCAACAAGCCAATCCAAAGAAGGTTAGAGAAAGCACAATCGTACCTGTTACCCTAACCATGGGCTGGGCTTGGATTCTGATCTAGACCTTTGAGCTAAGAAAGTAACCTTGGCTTACTATGACATCGAATTCAGAACTTATAAAATAGCAAAACCTTCTTAACTCTATTTCTTACAGGACAAACTGAGCATTTGCCTTTTCTATCTCAAAGTGCTGCAGCTACATGCTGGGAAAAGAATAACGAAGTAGGAACCTATACAAATCCCACTCCTACCCATATTTTGGACCATGCCGGATAAATTTAAGAAGCCTCCAAACAAGATATTTGTAAGAGATAACAATAAGCTGAGTTTTTCATAGATACCATGCTTGAATTCAATCAGTCTGAGGCACTTCTGTAGCATTCTCCTCCTGCAACAGTTGAGTTCAGGTAAAGGCACCAAACAAAGATATAAACCAGTAAATAGGAAAATTATAGTAACCATAACCAAAAATTAGCAGAGCAAACCCACATGATTTAAAATTCTTACTGAATACTATCATGCATTATTTAAAAAAGAAATGCAATAATATTTTATGCACTTATGCTTAGCATCAAAAGATTAAATGAAGTATGCTAATAACACATCAGTTAACAGCTTGCATATCCAAGTAGATGAAGAAATAGTTTTAAGGATCACCAAACAGGTAGACAACAAAGTAAACTGAACATGGGAGAGGGGACCAAAAATTGTGTTGTTAGATCCACATAAAAATAGACAATAAAAGCAGCAACAATAGTTCAGAACCCATGCAAGTAAAGCACTGCCTTCCAAACTTATAAACTGCTACTTTTTTAACAGTCAGAGCTGCATAATTTACTTAGATCGCTTGTTTCAATATATATCTCTCTCTCCTAATACTTTTCAATCTTGAATAGGAATGGAGAAATATTAGTCATTGGTTCTAAGCATTGGATTTTATTTATTTATTATTTGGCTTCTCTTGATGCAGAATAGAAATCCACTAATTGAGGGATTAAACCATATAAGATTTAGTTTGGTTACTGTCTTGTACCATATGAATGTAATTGTAATTTTATACGTAATTTAGAATTTAGATTGTTTAAACTTAATTTTTATATAAATCACTGTTTTGCTTATTTTCCAAGTATTAGGCTTTATGATTCTACTCAACATCTTGTATTTATTAGGGTTTAGGAATTAGCTTATAACTACTATGTACTTTCAGTTTCAATAGCTTACGTTTAATATAGAAGCATTATCAAAAAACTTCCAGCATTATTGCCTTTATACTTGAGTGATGCAACTAACATTAGTGTGACTACATAAAAATCCTAGATTTGAAGCTTAGGGATTTCTTCTTTTCTTCTCTTTTTCTTTATTTGATTTTCTCAATTATCTCAAGAACTCAAATAAAGATTTTCCATATGCTGTAATCACGTAGGTGTCCTACAACAATTACAAAGAAGCAAAGCAGAAAGAAGCTACTTTGAGAGATTTAACTATATAGAGAACTATTTACTTTGTTGTACTTTAAGAGCTTAATTGTAATTTTTTATGTAGGTTTAGGTTGTTAGATTATTTAGGGTATTTTATACTAGTCTGCATTTTGCTTATCTTTAAAATGTTTTTTTTTTTTATTTAGGGTATTGTAACTGCTTTCAGGTTACATTTGGTATTTGCATTTAGGGTTTAGGGCTTAGTTCATAAGTACCTACTTATTTATATTTCAACAGCTATGGTTTAACATAAAAATATTATCAGAAAATTTCCAGTATTACTGCTCTTATTATCTGATGATGCATTTGCCTTCGGTGTGACTCTTAAGGAGCTCTAGGTGGGAAGCAAAGTGATTTCTTCTCCTTTTTTCCATTCAACATTCTCTATTGTTCTAAGAACTCGGACTAAAAATTTCCAGAAACCTTATTCACCCGGCTATACTAACAAACAGTAGAACAGGCAACAAATTTAACTCATTGTGCTGTGCTACAATGTAATTTATGATAGTGCATTATGTTTAAAAGATAGTTTAAAAAATCAAACCACTACAAGTTCCAAACAGAGTCACCATACAAGGATTAGGAAACTGCACAAAGAAATCATACAGAGAGGATAAAAGAAACAATGTGTGCTTAGAGGAATGGTGAAGCACACTCACCAAAATAACCAGACTAACTTGATGTTGATGATAATCAGAGGAAATCTTATCAGAGTAATACTAAAAATCAAAACTTTTGTAGGATCTGGCCAAAAAAGCTTTTATAGGATAGATGACAGAAACCAGTGAAAACCTATTAGAAATTGGCCAGAATCCGTAATATTTCTTTTACATTTGTTGTGGAAAATAAATTTAATTCTTTTCTCAAGCAAACAAAAAAGAGAGGTAATGTCAATAGCTTTCAACAATCACGCCAAATAAGCAGAAAGCTTCCCTATATAAGGATTCATCAAATAGCAAATCAATCTTCAACTTTAGGACACTTGGTCAACAAGAAAGTACATAAATAGTTCTAGCAAAGAAAGACTGTATGATCATTTCAAACAATTAAATGGCTCCCATATAGTATTACCATCAAAACTGAATCTAAATAGAAATTAGAGCCTTATTTCTAAATTGAACAGTCTGTAAGAACTAATGAACCTATTGCAGAAGGAAGTTTAAGATGCAGCTAAAACAAAAAAGAGTAAAGTATAGTTCTAAAAAGTCCGAGGGAAAAGAAGAGACAGATGCTTACATCAATAGCACGAAGAGGCCTTACAGGTGATGCCTTTAGCTGAGAAGGTTCAGCACCAGAAGCAGATCCATTTCCACTAACACCATCACTATGACCCTGTAAAAAGGAAAATGAATATTTAAAAATGATATGCAATCATCAAGAAGTTTGGAATAACAGAAGAAGGGTTATACCAGAAAAGAATTTCTGTTGTGCTGCTGACGGTCTTCAAAGAGAGAAGAGTAATAAGAGGGATCATAGATGGCACCTCCTAAAGCGTCATCAGAGTCATTGTGAGAGCACTGTCTAAGTAGGGAATTGGAGGGAGTTGCAGGGCTTAGAAAACTATTTCTCAAATCAAAATCAGGGTCTCGTGGAACGGCAGCACTGTCTACATATGAAATCCCCAGCCTATATATTTGAATCCACAACAGGGACGACCACAACCTCACACAAAACCCCACAATCTCCATCGCAAGCGTTAGTCTGACAGAGAAGATGAACAAAATTCCGCCATTCTCCTCGCTCTCGCTCGACATGTTCCAAATATCGTGGGAAAAGAGGATGAACCACGAAATGTCGAGCAAAATGGCGCAGAAGAGCAAAACGGCGTAGGTTCGGCCTAAGCTCTGACTGCTGCTCTCGATGGCCACCAAAGCGAACAACGCTATGGCCAAATTAATGAGCAACACACCGTTGTATAATGCGCCCAGGGATCCGATCAAGGCGCACCCAATCTGACCAATCAAATCAAAGCTTTTAGAAAGAGAGAAAGAAACCCTAGAAATGCTAATAGTACTAGTTTTTTTTTTAAGAAAAAAATACAAAAAGAAAGTAATTACTTGGATGTAAATGAGGATGACGGCCACATACTGGAGCCTATCATAATCGCGAAGGCAAGCGTGAATCCCATCTCTCAGATTCTGAGAGCAACAACAAACCATCATCCGCTGTGCTGCGATTCATCCAATTTGATTGAATCCTAAAAGCAATCTAATAAAAACAAACTGTTTTTATGTTTCACGTTACTACATTGAAACGAAATAAGAAAGATCAAATACTCCAAATTATGATGAAATAGTCCTAGATCCTCTCCTCTCCTCTCCTTGTTCTTTGCACTTCTCAAACTAACTTTTCCCTCTTTCTGTTCGCTCTTTTTTGGTGTTTTTTTTTTTTTTTTTTTCTATTAGAAATTAGAAATTAATTTTGCTGATGTATGATCCGATTTCAGGTTGACGATTAGGTGAAAATTCCGAATAAGCCTGTAGATGTAAAATGCGTCGTGTTGAGTTGGTACGGTCCATTAAAAAATTAGTTCATATGTTAGTGAGTGGTGTTAATCTCGTATTATTATATAATATGTTATACTGTTATTTTTCATAAAAATTAAGTATGACTCAATACAAAACATAACTCACAATTTTTATAGTTCATGATGTGCCTAATATGGCATTCTTCTTCGTACTGTATCAGGCCAAACATGACTAATTGACAACAGCTTATTGCCAACTACAGCTTATTAATAGTATCTTAAATTTTTATTCTTTTTGAGAAAGATTTTTTTTTATTTTTAAATTATCTTTAAAAACTAATGTATAAAATTAGAATTAATAGCACCCTTATTTCTAAATTTTGACTTAAATTTTATTTTAATCCTTAAATTTTAAAAAATTTTAATCGGATCTTCAATTTTTAAAGGTATCATATTTTGATCTTTTCATCTATAAAATTTTCTAAATTGATATCAAATGCTAACTAACACTATATGATAACATTAGTTAATATCTCATGGGATAATAAAAAATTAAAATAGAATTTTCTTTCAAAACTTAGAGACTAAAGATGAAACTATTTAAAATTTTATATATTTCATTTATATTTTTAAAATATTAAATTTAAAATTATACTTGCATATTTTTTTTGTTATAATATAGCTTATTGAATAGATTTTTGTTTTAAATATAAAATATATATTCAAAACTTAAAATTAAGCTAAAATTTTTAAATTCTTTTTTAAAAAATTTAATACATTCTAAAAACAAAAAATATTATTAAAATATTATTTTATTCATAAGACATAATAAAACATATTATTTTCTATCCAAAAATTTTATTTTTTTTTAAATATTAAATAGCTTGTATTTTTTTCTCTTTAAATATAATTTATAAAATAAATTTTACAAAAAAGAAAAATAAATGTTTTAAATTTTATTTTTTATTTTATATGAGTATAAAGTTGTAATTTTTTTAAAAGATTAATAAATCTATTTTTTAGATGATATGGAAATTTTACATAATACTTTAACATGATATAGAGTTTTTATTTAATTTTTTAAGCCGATATAATAATTTTTACTTAATTTTTTAAAATGATATGTAATTTTAACAAAATTATTTTGAAATTTTCAACTTAATTTTAATTTTATAGAATATATATAAAATATATAAAATTTTGAAATGGTTTCATCTTTAGTTCCTAAATTTTAAGAGAATTCTTTTTTGGTCTCTCATCTGTCATGTAAAATATTAGTTAATGTCATCACGGGATGTCAGCTGAAATTTGCCATCATTTTATACAATTCTTTAGACAAAAGGATCAAAATAGGATAATTTTGAGCAATATGGATCTAATTAAAATTTTTTAAAATTTAAAAATCAAAATAGAATTTGGATCAAAGTTTAAGAACTACATATATTATTAACCCATAAAATTAGTACGTGAGGCACATAATTTATATGGTTCAATAAAATAGCTATGTTTATTGGTAAAAGTTCAAAGAATCTACCAAAATAATATATATGAAAATTATCAAATATTAATATTACATATCTAAATTTAAAAAAAAAAAATAGACATCACATTATTATTTTATTTGTCATTTTCATTGTCTTAGATTCATTTATATCATATATTTTGTTTCTTTCTTGGTTTTTTCATAATTAATCTTTAAGTAAAATAAATTTATAGTGTGTTTTTTTTTAGAAAATGATAAATAAAAATGAAACGAATCTATATAATTTTATCTATTAATTGTTTGAATATTTTATAAGTAGATATATTCATACAATTTAATTTTTATAATCTATTAATATAAAATATTAAAAGTGTAAAAGAACATCCCTTACATGTGTTAGCCTTAATTGATTTTTATTTTGAAATGCGAAAATATTAAGCTAAATAATCTTGATTAAGATTTTAAAAAGATTTATTTAGTACATGTTTTTAAGTTTTATTATTCTTCATACTAAATAAATAATATATTTTAAATGAAAAATATTTTGAAAAATGATTTTTGACTTGAAAAGGTTTATTGAGTACATATTTTTATGATTTATTATTTTTGGTGCTAAATAAATAATATATTTTTCAAAGTGATATTTGATTTGATAAAACTTGGAATAAAAGAATTTTCCAACAATTTTCTAGTTAGAAAATTTTTTAAAATAAAAAAAAAACTTTTACAAAAAATTTTATGCAAAATTGAAAAGAAAAGATCAATTTTTTAAGGACAGGATTGATCCCCTAGTGAAAAAGATCGATTGATTTTTTAGGTAAAAAGGTTCCATGTTTGAATTTTACAAAAATGGATTGATCCATTATGAAATAGGATCGATCGAGTTTTTATACAAAAAGCCAGAAAATTTCAAAACAACCAAAATGGATTGATCCTCTGAACGAATGGATCGATGGGATCCAAAAAATAGATCAATTCCATGCCAAAATCGATCGATCGGATCTTGCCTAAAATGCTTCTAATGACTAGTTTTTCAAAGGAACAATGGCTATTTTTATTTTTCAAGCATCCCTAACGGCTACAAACCCATTTTTTCTATAAATTTAGTGTTCCAACACACCGTTGAAGCTAATAAAAAGAGGAGAGCAAGCACCACCAAGTTTTAAATTCATTCTCTCAAGATTTAAAAGCATTATTAAGATTAGAGCTATAATTTTTCCTATTCTTGCATCCAGGTTGTATTTATTCTTCATTCATCATTCATCATTCTTTGTACTTCATTAGGCTAACAATAAACCTTTAAGAGGTATCTTTAGTTTGTAAAACATTAAAGCTCAATTATAATCAAAAAGTGAGGTATCCCCTTGAATGATTTTGAGAGTTTTTGTAGAAACTCATTTTGAGGAATTAATGGTTGTTAACTTAGCCTAAAAAGGTAGGGAATCAAAGGTTGTTATCTTAGCCTAGAAAGATAATGAGTGAGAGGTTGCTATCTTGTCCTTGAAAGATAGGGATTGTATTTTCCAATTCAAGTTAGTGAATTGTTCTTGGCACAAAAAGCTAAGGGAGAGGACGTAGGTGCCTTTGGAGAAAAACTAAACCTCTATAAATCTTTATATTTGATTTCTTTATTCCTACCCTTTTATATTCATTATTCTTTATTTGTTCTTCAATTTCATATATTTCATTTACATTTACTTGAAAATTTATTTTTGGGAAATAATTTGGAGATAATCTAATTCATTCCTCTCTTGAATTGGTATTTACACTTAAACTAACAATTGGTATCAGAACTTGAACTTTATTTTTATAGGTCTAAAAATCTTAAAGTGATCTTATAGCTTAAGTCTTTGATGCAACATTTGGTGAAAAAACAATCCATAATGGTGCCTCCAATGTTCAATAGTTCAAACTACACACAATGGAGGATAAGAGTGAAAGTTTTCATTATAACTCATGATATGAAGGCATGAGTGATAATCATCAAGGGGTTTAATGCTATATCAAATGATGAAGAAATGGATGAGAATCACATAAAGCTTATACAAGCCAATGCAATTGCCATGAATATGCTCTATAATGCATTTGACTTCAACAACTTCAAGTTGATTACAAAATGCTCAAATGCCAAGAAGGTATAAGAGAAACTTGAATACATGTGTAGAGAAACAAAAAAAGGAAGAAGAAGTTAAAGAAATGTCTTTTGAAAGCCAATCCTCTAACCAAAACAAATCATGTTTCATGGTTCTTAAAGATTTTTAGATAACATCTTGCCAAAATCAATCTCAATCTTGTGAATACATATTTGATGAATTACAAGGTGCCTATAATGAATTGGTAATTGAGTTTGAAAATAAGTATTTAAAATACAAGAAAATATTTCAAACTTAAATGTTGAAAATGATTTTTTGATGAATCAAAAAATGATTTAGAAAAACAAAATGAGAAATTAAAAATGAATTTTGAAGCTTGCCAAAAGAAAAATAAAATGCTTGAAAAAGAAAATTTTAATTTGAAAAAGAAGTTTGAAATTTTAATAAATGAAAAACATAAAGGTTTCAATAATTCACGTGTTAAAATGGCCAAATGTAATTATTATAAATTTTATGGTCATTCCATATCCACTTGTTCTATTAGAAGAAAATTTTCATTTAGAATTAGGCAAATATGGATTTCAAAAGGAGCAAGAGATTTTGTCACTAACTTTCAAGGACCCAAAGCAATATGAGTACCAAAAATCAAATGAAGAATATCTCTTGTAGGTGTATTAGAGTAAGGAGTTACAATGTGAGTTTGAAGATTGAATACTTTAGACACACAATAGAAAGATGGGTAATCTCTAAATTTTTATTCGAAGTAAATTTGAAATTGATTGTCTATTCTTGATTGAATATTAAGTGCATAATTGTTATATGCTTTATTAATATATCTTGATTATGCAAATTTAGTTAAAGTAGACTACTTGTTATAAATTGCATGATTGTGAAAAATATAATGTTAATTTAAGTGTGTGTTTATTTTTGCTTTTGAATGTTCAATATAAATATATTCCCATGATGGTGAAATTGATTTTGTACATTCTTGAGATATGTTTTTTTTTTTTGTAGAACTTTTGCTTGAGCATGATTTTGTATATGTACGTTTGATATGATGATATCATGCTTTGTGAAATTATTATTGGTGTTTTGTGTGATAAATTATGTGCTTAATTATTTTTATGTTTATGCATAAACTTATGAGGAGCATACAAAGCTTAATGATTTTGACTTTTTAAGTTTTACTTTGAATATGATTTTTGCAAAAGTCAAGTCTTTAAAATGTGAAATTTGTTTCAGCAAGTTTTTAAGTTTGAAATAAATTTGAATTTGTTGAGTTCAATGATTTAAACTTATTCAAATAAAGAAACTTTATAACTTGCAATAGTTTTAATGTTTTATAATGTTACATACAAATTATAAAGGTTTTTAGAGCTTAAAACATCAAATCTTATTTTTTAACATTTGTGGGCATAAAAACCATTTGGACAATTTGAAATTATGATACAAAACTTTTCTAAATGGTTTAAAGAGCTTAAAAT